GTACAGGAAGGTAGACTCCAGCCCACAGAGGAGGATCCAAGTATCGATTCTGGATTTACAATAAGCACCAAGCATTTCCATAAGAGAAGGGAAACATTAGCACTTGGACTGCCTCTGAGAAGCACAGGAAAATTCTCAGAGCTGAGGGTGACTCTCCCCAGAGACCCCGAAAGGCTACTTCTTCAACTTCACGTGACATGTAGTGAATTATTTCTCATAGGAAGCTACTGGGTTGACAGCCAGCCGCCTTGCACATGGTGTCTCCTGAACAGCTGCAATGGATGGAGAAACAGTTGCCTTGAGTTCTCCTTTGATTCTGCATAAAGTCAATCAGGTTTGCCATGGCTGATTGGGGAACTGAATCAGTAACATTAAACTATCTAATGGAAACTTCGTTTATGACCCAGTGTCCTATAGACAAATAGAAAAGTTGCTATTGGTTGTGTATTTTTTACAAATAGGATACAAGTCTGTATTTGTACAGTGGGATGCTGCTATAAATCTAAATAAGTAGCTCTGTAATTCTTTCGGTTCTGTGAGAATCCTTGTCAGGAATTGGTGGTGGCTACAGTGAGTAACCACAATGATATTCTGTTACAAGTAATATTATTCCTTCCAAGAAGTTGGTTGGTTGTGCTGCTGGAAGTTGGCACAGAAAGAAGATCTGAAAGGACTGCAAACAAAGGGGTTTCCTGGCTGCAGGCTGTCTCCAGGGGATCTTTGATGGTAACACCTCAGGTTCTGAGAATGGGTGTAGAGAGCCGCCCTCTGTGTGGCTGACTTTTCAGGACAGTTGATGCCAATTCTTAATTATGTTGATTTTTTTTTTCTAAAATTTATTTTTCACTTCCAGGACCTAATAATCAAAGTACACAGAATTCAATTTCACTGTCCTGCAGGCTCCCAGCAAGCTGTGCCCTGATGCTTCCTTCTATTTCTCCATCTCTTTTGCTGAAGATCCCTGTATCGTGTTCTTGCTGTTGTGACTGCAGATATCTTTGAATGTTTTTATTCCAACTTTCCTTTTCTAATACTTTTGAAAACCTGTCCATGCTTTTTCTATTTCTTTTCGTGTTTCATTGAAATTTACCCCCTTATTTCCACTGAAGAAAGTACTTAATTCAGCATCTTCTTTTCTCCTATCTTTTTCAAGAAAGTGAATTTTAAAATGCAGTGTTGCTTTACTTTCTGATCAGTGTAAGATGACTGTCTTTCCCCAAACATAATTAAAAACTGAAGGTGTTTCCTAAAGAGTTGTTTTCAAATCTTTTGTTAAGTCTTTTATTTTTAAAATTTCTTCATTTTTAAAGCACTTGACGTCATTTTTAAAAGCTTTCAGGGTCTGTAAACTCTCCCTCCGTGTACACTTTAACTTACTCTTTACTTAAACTCTCATCCCACTCTAGCAAATGAAAAGTATTGATGCATGCATGGCAAACTATTTTTAATATGAAAATATCCTCATCTTGTGGACTTGGTGGCTCCTGTGGCCAAAAAAGCCTCATTGTTCTGTCCCATCCATGAAGAATTCTTGATATTTCAGTTTCTTTATTACCTGCTGTTCAATGATTCCTTCTTAATAGTTAATTTTTTTGTAGTCTTGTCTAGTTCTAGAATCTTGATAATTTGTTTTACCTACATGTTATATTTTATTTCTTGAGTTTACAACACTTACATCAAGCTAAGTTTCTGATATGCAGAGAAGGTATAGCCAAAAAACAAATAACAATTTAAAAAGAAATTTAAAAACAAATAACAATTAAAAAAAAGAAAAGAAAAAACACAGAGAAGGTGTAGCTGATTTATAGTGCCATTGACTGCAGGGACCAGATGTCTTAACTTGCTTAAAACAGTCCTTGCTTACACAAGTTGCCCTAGCACTTTTTCTGGTTTAGACTTTGTCCTACATTTTTTAGTTTTCAAATGAAATATTACTGTTAATAGTTGTTTTAGGAAAATCTAGAATGGGCGTGTAGACAGTTCTTTCCACTTCTACCATACTTTCATCAAGGCATGTGAGATGCATAAGCAACAAACAGGATCCTTTTTTTTTTTTTTAGAATTATCTTTTTTCTGTGTGGTTAAATCTGTAAGAAAACCAACAATACCACTCTCTTTTCTCCAATAATTCAAAGGCACAACATAACTAGCACCTTCCTTTCAAGGGCAGTATGCAACCCTGATCACTGATAAAGATCACTCCTACTTGGATAGGAGTAGTAGAGATGACTAACTCCTTCCAGTCGCGGGTGGGCATGGGAGAGGCACTGCAAGCTACAGCTCCTACCAGCAACTTTTCCCACCATAGTAGGGTCAGTGGAGAGCACCTGGACGTGTTGGTTAATGCACTGACACATTAGGAGGAGAAGAATTTCTCAGAGTTAAAACAGTTATACCAGTCTTATAAGCCAGTTTACAATACTGGTATTATATTAGCTCACCAGATACTTTCAACAGAACACCAATTAATTTATGTAAATAATTTTAATTTTTTAAATTCAATTCATTAGAAGTAGCCTAAGCCTTTTAATATTTTTTTTAAGACAAGATCTGGCTTTGTCTCCCAGGTTGGAGTACAGTGGCACAATCTGGGCTCACTGTAACCTCCACCTCTGTCATCTGGGCTCAAACCATCCTACTTCAGCCTCCCAAGTAGCTGGGACTATAAGCACAAGCCACCACACCCAGCTAGTTTTTTAATTTTTTTTTAATAGGGATGGGGTTTTGCCATTGTTCCACAGCTGGTCTCAAACTCCTGAGCTCAAGCAGTCTGCCTGTCTTGGCCTCCCAAAGTGCTGGGATTACAGGCATGAGCCACTGCACCCGGCCTAGCATAAGCCTCTTTTTAATTTTATTTTTTATTTCTTTTATTTTCATTATTTTGGAAACACTCATCTTCTGTCCCCAAAGCTAGAGTGCAGTGGCATGATCTCGGCTTACTGCAGCCTCCTTCTCCCAGCTTCAAGCAATTCTCCTGCCTCAGCCTCTGAGTAGCTGGGATTACAAACATGTGCCACCACACCCAGCTAATTTTTTTATTTTTAATAGAAATGGGGTTTCACCGTGTTGACCAGGCTGGTCTCAAACTCCTGACCTCAAATGATCTGCCCACCTAGGCCTCCCAAAGTGCCAGCATTACAAGTGTGAGCCACTGCACCTGTCCAGCATAAGCCTTTTAAATGTTCATTCTGTCCAAGGTAAAACGCTGATATTATTTTAAATCCTGTTATAATCTAATTAAGAAGTAAATATTAAAGATAAATGTATTTATTTTGTGGAAATAATACAATACAAATTTTATGAAGTGCAACATATGGGTAAAAAAAAAACAACAAAAAATATTCTTACTAAGTTAAAAAATATGTGAAGCAGACCCATATTTGGAATTCAAATGTGCAGGAAACTTACAACTGCATCCTAATAAAGCTGCACAATCTTACCAATGAAAACAGAAATTCTAAGTGTTTTCAAAATTTATATATACATGTACACACACACACACATTTAGAGTAAATAAAATAGAATATTTTTGTGATGAGGCTGATGTTGAAAACAAAAAGAACTTCAGCATAAAAGAATACATTTTCTCTCTTTCCTTCCCTTCGTCAATCGAAGTTATGAGTTTCCCAGCTTTTAAAGAACTACTTTGTAAACCAACCTACGTTTCTTACAATGGCTATGAATATTTTTCTAAATGAATCCTCTACATTTTAGCTGCATTACATTCAAGATCAATTGAAAAACTTAAACTGATTATTCAACGAACCAAATTATGCCCCCCCAAAAAAACTTTGAAAGCTCTTAGTAAATTGCAGTGATTGAAAGCTTACAGAAAACATTGAACTATATCCTCACAAAAGCAAAAGAAGACAAATTAAATGAGAACTCAAAATGTTGCACAAGATTTGACTTTTTAATTTTATAATTTCCCTTTGAGATATCTTGACTTGAGAAAAGACATTTTAGAACGGAGCCCCGGTTTTTAATTGGACAACTATATTTTCTGCACCAGAAGGAACAGAAGTTGAGTTGAGAAGGCTTAAAATTTTGTAGCATCTGTATTTGATTAAAATAGTCATAAATAGATACAATTTATGGGTTTTGTCTTATAAAATTTTTGCCAAAATAAAGATATTCTATATGGAGGCAAAATTACAGTATCCAGGAAAATATGTGGGCTAAAATATACTATGCATATACCCCACTTAGCAAACTTGCTTGGCATTTACACATGCACACACACACACACACACACACACACACACACTCCTGAGAGTTCAGCTTTTCTCCATCCATACCTGTATGCCTGTTAATGTTAGAGTGCTGTAATACAACCAAATTTTGGCTTCAAGTAATTAGTATCTTTAATGGGCTATGAAAAAGGAGAAATAAAGATAATACATGTACGTTAAAATTGGGAGAAGAAAAGATTGAGGCTTTGATAAAACCAAATGAAACTGGAAAGAATATTACAAAGATGAAGAATCTATACAGACAGCCAGTTACTCTGTCATTAGGGAGGAAATGAAACGTTTGCAAAAGGCAGATGCCTATTTCTTGGAGGTGGCTTGGGGACAGAGGCATGGAGATAGATTATCTGGCTTCTCAAATGCCTTTCTAATAATGTAAAACATATTCTTAAGAAAAAAAAAGATTCTGGCAACAAGAGGTGACAGTATATCTTTCGATATATAGGGAGAAAGGGCTTGTCTGTATGCCTAAGGACAAACACATTATTTAAAATTTCATACTTTTTAATACTTCGTTTCTTACTGAAACCATTGACAACTTATTTTTCAGAGCTTAGGAATCCATTTGAGTTTCTTAAATTCCCCCTTTTGGCTTATTGACAATATTTTTAGTATCCTTTGTACTAAACATTTTTTTCATTTTATGGTGAATGGATACTTTTATTAACTTTGCTCTTATGTATTCTACTTTAAACATTTAGTATTGTATTTTTACACACTTATTCTTATTAGCCTATGTTATATTTTCAGTTGATTTCATAGGTGGACTTGATACCCACTCCTACTACCAGGATCATGTTGAGTTAAAGCCTGTTAAGCCAGTAAGTAAAGGTGTGATGATACGGAAACTATTAATCCTTCTAACTCAGCCAAAACTAACCAAACGTGGTAGAATTTGAACCTACTACTAATAATAATTGGTTTAATTTTTCACTCATGTTTAAAACACACCTTTCACATGTAACCCAACATCATCATTATTATTATTTATTCCAAAAAGGATTTGACGCTGGTGACATGATTTATATTTCAAATACCATAATTTTATCTTATTCCCCTTATCAATAGTTGGTTACCAAAATTTTTTTTTGAATGAGATTGTTTAACCTGCAGGAATGAAGACTGAATATGTGTCCTGGGGCAGCACAGCAAAGTAAAAAGGAAAGAAAGACCTGAACTGAATCCAGGCCCTCCATGTGAGGTCCAGGTGCCTTCCTCAGTGTCCCTGAGACTTGTTCTATCACCATACTATGGTTTCACAAGGTGGGGAAACAGATTAAGACAATGTGTGTATAGTATAGATAAAGTTGTCTATTACTGTTCCTAGTACTCAAACCTTTGACTAACAAGTTCAGAAACAAGTTTTCTATGTTCCTAGAGGACACAGAAGGAACTCAACAAAAACCAAACCACCTAAAACTGCTTAGATTTCAGTTGAGTACAAGAAAGAAATCTTAGTCACTGAAAAAATACTAGGAACCATGGAAACAGATACAGTGACTCCGTTCCTAGAAAATTCCAACTAGCACATAGACAACTGTATAAATTAATAAAGCTATCACACACTAATCACTTTGCATATATTATCTCACTTAATCTTCTTGAAAACACTGCAATGTACTAATTATTTTTCCCATTTTATAAATAAGAAAACTGAGGTTCATAGAGGTTAGGCAACTTTCTCAAAGTCCCACTATTAGTGAGTTGTGGAGCCGAGATCTTTCCTGGGTGGCAAACTGTCACCAAACCTGATATGATGACTTGCTCAGAGGATCTTTTCTTTCTGCTCGGTGTCCTGCAATTCCATGGTGATAGAAGAAATTATCTAAAATAGTCACTTGTATAACAAACACAGGTGAAAAGCTTCACCTGTTGCCTCTTTGCCACAGTGGTTCTACCCCAAATATGCAGCCCCCACACCCAGCATCTGTGAGGATTGAAGCTCTGAGAAGGCTACACTGACTCCTCTACCTCTCCAGCTTAAATTAACTTTATCCTGACAAAATGATCTAAAGTAACATAGCTCACAGGCAACAGAAATCAGTCCTGTGCCTGTCATATGATAGAGGTTTAAATAAATTTTAGTTTCTTAAAGCAAATCCACTTTGGAAAACACATTCACCCTATATAACATTCCAGAAACAAGCAGTCGCCGCCTCATTATTCATACCACTGAGTGCTCATAAATGATATGCTCTGAAAGTTGATATTTGTAGATTTGGGAAACTTGTCAGGGATTGTGACAATAATCAAGATGATTAGTGCATTGGAAGTGAGAAAAGAACTAAGACAATGCCTAATGGTGACTTAGAGAGTCTTGATATATTTGTTATGTGATAAGAGGATGATGAATGGTTTCTTTCATCTTCGCTGTGAAAAGAAAAACTCAGCAGAGAAATCGCAATATTAAAAATGCTGCAATGTAAGAGAGATCTTTCTATTAGGGAAAGTTATTAAAAACTGCTTTTGATAAATGTTGATAATGGAATTTTTTTCTTAAATAACTTTTAAAAACCAGACTCACATGTACCTATGTACCTCAAAAGGGTGTTCTGTGGCATGGCCCAGAGGCAAGTGACTTCCACTTATGTTCTCTAAAGTCACTTCCATCTCTGTGAATCAAGAACACTGAAACATGCTTTTAAGATCACCTAAAAGGCTTTGATCAACTCCACTCTTTGCTCGAAGGGTTTTCTCAGCATCTCTGCACACTGCTGACCTAGCAGTGGTTAGCTGATTATAGCTTAAACTACAAGCTATTCTCTACAGAAGGCAATAGAACAAGCTTCTGCTTTGACGGATTATGCATATTATCATGTCAGATGAATATGGAATGCCTTTCAACCATGAAGGAAGCAAAAATCTGAAATATCAAACAAAGCCTGAATTGAAATCATTGTGCATGAAACAATTTAACAGGTCAGTATCTGTACTCTCCACCAGTGTGCAAATATTGTAGCATTTATGCAGTCTGCCTCTATCAGTTTACTTAGTTTCTTTTAATAAGGCCTTTATATTAAATTCCACTGAACCCAATGATGCCATATCACTACCCACCAACAGCTGGGAGAAAAAGCTGTTGCTGAGTAGTGTGAAGCTTCCGACCTTCCGTGTGAAATCGCTAGAGAGGGGAATGAAGGCTTGCTTTGACTTTCATTAAGCCTCTTCTATCTCCATGAAGTACAAAGTCAGGTTTTGTGAGGAAGCCACTTTGTTAAGGGGATCAGAAGAATCCTTAGCATATTCTCAAGCACATGTATGTGAACAGGTAGCTTTGAACTCCATATGGATAGTTTCCAGCCAACAGCCTATTCGAGATAATACTGCAGAATTGTACAGGAAGCCTTAATTCTCATGTTTGAAAGTGCCACTGCTCATAATCACAAAGTGCACCTTTCAAACTTCCCACAGTCAAATTGTATGTGAATGTGTATACAGGAAGTGGGGTTGGGATAGGGGTAAGGTGGTTCACATATGGGTTTGGTCTTTCATGTTTTGTTTCTTTCCTTGTAAAGTAATGATATCAAGCTGTCAAAGCCCACTGATTACATCAATCAGTTTAGTTCACTTTACAATCACTGATTGATTGCCTACACTGAGCAAACCAGGCACATCCTGAGTGCTAGAGATATAAAGATGAATAATACTTGAGCTTTGACCTTCAGCCACCAATGATCTAGGAGGAGAGATCTACAAAGAAGGGGCAGAAGCAAAACCATATCCCCAGGGAAATTTTATGCAGGCGGGGGAATGGTTCATTCTTGCTTGCTGAGGAAAGGCTTTCATGGGAAATAACAGTTGAGTTACTTTGAAAAGATGGCACAAAATTTATCAAAAACAGAATGAATATAACTACACTGGAAGATACCTTGGCAGTTTCTTACAAAACTAGGCATACTTTTGCCATAAGATCCAACAATCGAGCTCCTTGGTATTTACAAAATACCGAGCTCTTTGGTTCACACAAAAATCTACACACAGATATTTATAGCAGCTTTATTCCTAATTGCAAAAACTTAACGAAGAACCAAGATGTCCGCCGTAGGTGAATGGATGAACTCTGGGGCATCTATACCATGGATAATTTGGTGCTAAAAAGAAATGAGCTATCGCATCATGAAAGACATAGTGGAGATTTAAATGCATGTTATTAAGTAAAGAAGTCAGACTGAAAAAGCTACATACTATAGAATTCCAACTACATGGCATTTTGAAAAAGGCAAAACTATGGATACAGTAAATAGATCTAGAGTTGGGGGAGGGGAGACATGAATAGGCAGAGCACAGAGGATTTTTAGAACAATAGAACTTCTCTGTATGACACTGGAATAATGGACACATTTCAGCATACATTTATCCCAACTCATGGAAAGTACAACACCAAGAGCAAATCCTTATGTAAGTGATGGTCTTCGAGTGACTATATCCATGTAGATTCGTCAGTTGTAATACATGAAACACACTGGTGGGGGTGCTGATAATTAAAGAGGTTGTGCAATAGCAGGGGCAGGGGCAGGGGCAGGGAATCTATGGAAAATCTCTGTACCTTCCTCTCAATTTTGCTGTGAACCTAAAACTGCTCTTAAAAAATTAAGACTTTAAGGGGAAAAAAAGCAGAAGAAGAAACCAGGTATCCCCAGCATGGAGGCTGACTCGCTTGGCCAATCTACAGAAGACAAAGTTGAAGCTCATGATTCTCCAATCTGATGTTTGCCATAGTTCTCATATAAATGGAGTGAACGGCTAGGAAGCAGAGGCATAAGAAGAGCAGGAGTCAACAGCTCCTGGTGAGGACACTAAGAGACCTCAGCAGCCATGGCTCCACCATTATGTCTAAAGCTATCAAGATGGTTTCAGTGGTGGTTATCTGGGTCTGGCTTGGGGACATGTGACACACAGGTCAGGGGTAATTTGTGCTGGGGTTCAATATCTTACCACAGCTACCAGTGGGAGCGGTGTAACTCTCACTGTAACTGCCACAGAGTCTTCACTCCGTCACTGCCCCCACTCACTGACACCACCTCCCCTGAAAGGACAGAGTAAAGACTGCTCTTGTCATAAGAACGCAGAGCCCAGTGGTCAGCAGTGGCTTTGAAGAGGACACCTGCACATCAGCTTATAGTAGGGGCAGCAGTAACACCAAGAGAAGAGGGTTAACAAAAGCAGATTTACCCCTCTGGAAGAAAAATAGCATGGCATAAACATATGCAACTATCGAAGTGATATGGAATTTCAGAGAAACATCATAGTGAGCAACTAAATTGAAGTTTGTCAAAATCATAACTTGTATATTTCCATCCAAATGGTTAGCAACTAGGTAACAGGAAGATTAAGCTCCATGTAGCAGTAATTCTTCACATAAAAATAATTAGAGCAAGGCAGTTTATCAAAGAAGGACAGCAGCTGGAATTCCAGAACCGACTTCTACAACAAAGATAGAGCTGGATCTGATTATGTCAGAAGTTTCCATGAGGATGACGCCGATGACTGCAGTTGAGAAAGACTTGAGGAGAGCTGACCTGAGATTCCTCCATAACTTTCAGCAAATCTTTTTCTAAGGCTTCCAAATAAGAACCTGATTTTTCTTTGGTATCTTAACATGTCTGATTGCCTTTGCTGGAGGCTAATTTTTCTTCACAGAAATTGCTACATGCTGTGTGGCTACTGTGGATTGAGTGGCTGCTATTGCAACTAAGTACTAGACACAGCCAAGGCTAATCCCTATTTCTAGGTAGCCCTGCAGCCAGCTCCGCAGATACTTTGACTGCCTGTTCTCTGTCTCTGACAGTCCAGGTACACAGGAAACCCACTTCTAATGAGC